GTAGAAAGAAAAAAATAATTTATTTTTCGTTTCGTTTCCTATCGTGTGTTGATTTTTCCTCCGTTCACAAGGAGCGTCCAATTTGCGTTATCAAGCCCATATATTTGTTTATGTTGCGTGAATCGAATCCATTTATCTTTGGAAATTATATTTGGAGCCAAGCAACAAAATATGCATCGAAAACGATGAATGCTACGTACAAATTAAATGTGTTTGAATTTGTGTCAATCGACAAAAAGAGCGCAGAAAAAACAACGCGCAAAAATAAAAGCCCACACACATTCAAAACGGTCAACTATTTGAAGATTGAAACAGTACACCGCATAAAGAGCGCTGAACTGCACGATATTCATGACTTTGAGCATGCTATTCTATTTAGTTGACACTTTACATTGAATTTCACAAAGGTTTTTGTCAAGGTAATTAACATGCTCAATCACAATGTATCCATTCGCTTTTACTGGCACAAGCTGCCGTTCAATAAAACAAGGCACTCAATTTTGCACCGGGCTTACTACGTGTATCATGATGCAAAAAAATAATACATACATCAAATGATGGAATATTGGGTTCAGATGATTTTTTTTTTCGTAAATTTCATGACAAATAGCTCATTTAATTTTGATGCCGTGTGGGAGCAAATGAAAAGGAAACCAAATTGATTCTTTGAACAACAAAAAGAGGTTCACTGGAAGAAGCAACATCTTTATTGAGGTTGAGCTTGAGGTTATTTGCGGTGGTGAATATGCAAATGAATATTGTAGTGCAATTTCTCTTTGTTTCGGTATTAAATAGATTTGCATGAACATTAATGTTAGTCAATTTTGATGGCGCGGTTTGCACACCCTCGTCAAAGCTCTTGTCTTGGCTTACAACATTGTCTGTCTGAGCCATCTCCTATATCGCTTTTAATTCCTCTATTTTTGGAATTTAAACACCAAATGATTCATTGCGCTTCGCTACCACCCTTATTTATACTTGACGCAAATTTTGACTACACCTACGGATGGTGACCAAGAAAAACCTTTGAAAAAGTCTGGGATAACTCCATTATACTGGTCCAGTGGTTACTTTACTTCGGCAAGTTCTGTCTTTGTAGTACAATTTGGTTCTTTTCAAGGATATTATTGCTGAATAACACATGTTCACGCCTAACCCACATTCTCTGTTAGGTTGAGTAAGAACTTATGCATGAAAAAATTCTCACATCAAAAGCACATCTCTGACGTGACATAAATTACATCTAAGCCGTGAACTGATGCAGCCTTAGACTGCCAGTCAAAAACACTTTTAGCGCTGTAGGTAGGAAAATGTTTGCTACAGTGCTACACATAGAGAAAAAAAAGTTACGTTTCTTGGTGTTAGTGATTCTTGATTCTGACCCAAAGTTTTTTTTTGCTACTATAAAAGATTTTCTTTCGCCGAAATTTTTTTTTCGTTGTGTTGGTGCGGCGAAATGTGCTTTAACAGCGGCGGAATTTTTTTTCGAAAAAGAATCTTTCACTTGTCAAATTCACACCAACACAACCAAAGTTGTTTTTCGACGAATTTTTTTTTTTCGTATAAGCCATAAAACTTTGGGTCAGAATCAAGAAAAAGAATCATTAACACCAAGAAACGCGACTTTATTTTCCTGTGTGTATTAACAAATTGCTCGCTCAAGAACGTAGCTCTCTAGCAAAGAAAAAAAAATAGGTGGCATATTGATAGAGTCGATGTTTGAGGTGTGTTGACAGACCACTGACTCGATGATCAGTGTAAAGTATTGAACTTGACTTTCCATCTATTCGTGTGCCACCCGGGCGATCCAATTTCGAGTTTACAAATTCATGACTGTTGCATGTAATGACTCGTGGCTTGGCGCACCAAGAGTAAAAAGACAGACACAAAAAACTTGTTCAATTAACTGTGAGCAACGCACTGGGCGAATGAAGCCTATCGGTGATTTCTACTGGTGTATATACTCTATTGACACGCGGATATTATTGTTTATGCATTTCACATCGAATTGGTCAAGGTTACAACGTTGTTTGTATCATATGTGATAGTACTCGGAGCGGCATATGAATATGCTATCATTGCAATCAGTTTCTCAGTATCACAATATTTGGTTTGAACGAAATAGCAACTATAAATGAGTTATTACAAAACACTCTATGTCAGATCGCAGTCATTCTACTGCACCCCGTATTGAGTGTTGTTGCAATGAATATTTCATGGGCTGGATCTCTTCAAACCGCTATCAATTGACAAAATAATAACCAAATGTACAACGAGTATGAACGAATCAAATGGTTGGCATATGGAAAACACATGAGTATAGAGTATACTTCACTCAATGACTGTTGTTATCAATCGTTGATATGAAATTGGGCCTGAACATAAACGCCTTTCCATTTCTCAGTAATTTCACACACTTCAAGCATGTTTCAACGACAACCAAGAATGTTTGCATTTGAGCCACAGAAAATTACCCGAAGTTGGTTATTATTATTGGAAAATATTCCATTTGATATAATTGGAAACGACAAAGAAGAACACTGCTTTTATCCATGCTTACAATTTATCGTTTAATTGGTAGATACAGCGATGGTGTGCTGTTTATATAATTGAGTAGCAATTAGAAAGGCCGCGCAACAACCGAACAATTTTTAGTGGTTTCGATTGCAAAATATTTTATCTAATATCAAAATATTTTCACCCAATTTCATTCAAGTTGACACACATATGTGCTATTTGACAGATTCAATGTATACGGCATGTTCTTGATTGCCGTAATTTCTAGTGAAATGCCCAAGCAAGTGTGCGCTGTGTGGAACTTCTAAAAAGTTATTATATTTTATCGACCAACATCATTTTTATGCATTTATTATTAGTTGAGTGTTTATTCAAAACTAACACCGAAATACCTATGACCGATAGGGCGGTTTGCGAGTACAAGCATTTTCAGTTGTTGCTATGCATTTTTCATGAAAATAAAAATCCATTGGCTTGGCAGTGACGAACCATGAATTAATTGACATATTTGAATCAATATGAAACACATGCTCGTGGAAATTATTGCGTCTATCGTCCGATGTCAAAGAGACAGTGTATGCGACATGCTCGTTCTACACCTCCTTCTATCAATAATTTATAATTAAAGAAACATGTGCCATATGCGAATTAAATCAAAATGGAAACAGTCGTTAAATTGTGATCAAATAGAGTAGAATGAAAATTGTCCACTTCAATTGTATCAGATATACAGAAGCACAACTGGTGGTTCTTTCAAAGAATTTATTTACATATTTCATATCTTCTGTCTAAAGAATTGTTTAATTTTTCTTCAAAGAATATCGACAATTCATTCCAATAGGGTCAATTCCATCGTCAATTCCATCAAGAAAAGTTCATCCCTATAGACCTCAAATTTGCTTCCATTTCAATAAATTTTAATAAATTACCCACGGAATCTGCTCTTTCGTCGCTTTATTTCAGGCTTATGTAGAAGAATATCAAATAGGGTCGGCCCATTACCTTTCAATTTCGATGGAAATGTGCATTGATCTCTCTCTCCCGCTCTTACGGTAGAACACATAGAATAATAACATATCATTGAATCAATACATGTATAGGGTATGAATTATTACCTGAAATATTTATCAAAGTTTTGAAGCCACAAGAAATCAATAATATCACTCAAAGTTTGGGTACAATTGACGAAAATCACAACTTCTAAGAAACAACTTATACATTGTATGTTCGTGTTCTTATTTTGGACATTCATTTAAGATAATGAATTTGATTATTGTGAGAATTTTTTAGTTTCTGAATAAGAATTTTTCAGTTTGTCTGAATAATTGATTCCAATAGTTCTGATTAACTCGAAAACTTTCTCTCAAATTGTTCGTTCAATCTCAGAGCTAGTAGTTAACAATAGACAAGTAGAACATTGATCGTTATTGATTGCGTGTGAATAAGCTTTCGCGTGAAGCACAATTGAACATATAATGAACAGCTGTTTTGAAAATTAAAATAATATGCATTTGAACTCAATGTTGAACTCATTTATGAAATTCCTGTTGTTCGTTTCACAATTTACCGGTTCACAAATGTGAATACCTAGATATACTACAGTGTGTGAGGATCATCTGAATACATTCGAATTGCTTTAAACTGAATTGCGATTAAACTTATTTAGTATTCATCGTATGAAATTTTCGTTTCACAATATTGTTCATCGCTTTGTGCTGATTAAGAACGATTTACATTGAAGTGTTCGTCATATGTCGTCATATTGTGTAATTCTTTTACACATTGTCTATTTATACAAATTCTGAGTTCAAAATGTGCTTTGAATTCGAAACGTTTTACTGTGATTTGCTTGTAATTTAACCGATTATCAATGGTTGATAGTGGTTGTTCTTATGTATAAAGTCGATAGACGTAAACTTTCTTTTTTTTTAAAGAACCATAAACAAAGTTCTGGATTTGAATAATTCATGAATGCGTTCGACGCTCAATCGAATATTTTATTCAGCCATTTCTTTCATTGATATATTGACCTTATTCAGGCTAATAAATGGTTTTCTTATTCAAAAGTCAGACCAAGCGCAGTTGGGGAATTCCCACAAGACGAACGTCACCATCAATTTTCCCTGTGAATTGCGGTTAAACAATTGGCCATAAAGTTGTGTAGTGACATTGGTTGCAGTCTCATAATTACCGTAAAATATGCATCTCTGTTCCATGTATTCACAAGTACGTCGCAGTTTCTGTGTTAAACATACTCTGATTGAAATCTAATCGCAATTCGACTGCAAATGGAATTGATTCCATTGATTGCCCAATTTTTCTGTTGTGCTCAGACGGTAGTGGATTGTTTTAGTGTTTGCTTGCATGATTAGCCCAAATTATTGACGTTTCGATGTCAAACCATTTACGGAATAATTTCAACAAATCTACTCTCCTGAATTTTTCATCTAAATTTCAATTTTGGTCGGTTCTTTTATTTGCAGAGCGTCGGAGCGGTATTTGAAGGTATTGTGGCGAGATGTTTGCGTGGGTGACATTGTGCATTTATCAAATAATGAAACAGTTCCTGCCGATATTCTATTACTGCGAACAAGTAATCCGCATGGTGTATCATACATTGATACTTGTGACTTGGATGGCGAAACAAATTTAAAGCTACGCGAAGTGGTGCGTGGTTTTACGGACAAACAACAGCTATTCACGCCAAGTAAATTCACTAGTCGCGTTGAAGTCGATTTGCCAACAACAAAGATTTTTAAATTTAACGGTGCTCTAATACATCCATCTGGCGAACGTGTTCCTGTATCCACCGAAAATTTACTTTTACGAGAGAGTAGACTTAAAGTAAGTGGTTTGTTTTGGTTTGGTTTAGTTCGGTTCGGTTCGGTTCGGTTTGGTTGACATTGAAAATCAATCGATACTTGTCACACCTACTCACACACACACACACTCTGGAAACTAACATGATTTGATTTCGTTGTTCAATTTGCAGAATACAGATTTCATCGAAGGAATCGTTGTATATGCGGGCCATGAAACGAAAGCCATGTTGAATAACAGTGGACCACGGTATAAGCGATCTCAGCTAGAGCAGCAAATGAATTACGATGTGATTTGGTATGTTCAATTGTCATGTGCTTATCCAGAATGAGAATGATTGGGGTATGTAGCGGAAGGATTAATGTTTTGCGCTTGTTTTTTCTGTTTCGTAGGTGTGTTGTCATTCTGTTAGTTATGTGCATTATTGGTGCCATCGGGTGTCGAGTGTGGCTGCAGAAATTCGTTGAAATGGACATTTATTTTCTACCGAAAATTAATGAGCCAAATTTTGAAGCGTTTTATACGTTTTGGACATACGTAATCATATTACAAATAATGATTCCGTTATCTCTATATGTTACCATTGAGCTGTGCAAAATTCTTCAAGTATTTCACATACACAACAATTCGGATTTGTATGACATTCAGACGAACAAACGGACCGAGTGTCGTGCAATGAACATCACCGAAGAATTGGGCCAAGTGCAACACATTTTTAGCGATAAAACCGGTACTTTAACGGAGAATAAAATGCTTTTTCGCAAATGTACTATAAATGGTGCTGATTATAATCATGTGTCATCGGAATTGGAAAAAGCGTATATGAAACCCGGTGCACCGGCCCCACCGATTATGATCAATCCACAATTGATGGAAGATATGGTTGCTTCATTCTTCAGTGATACGTACACGAAGCAAGCACAACGAATTCAAGAATTTTTTCTAGTTTTATCAATATGCAATACGGTGATTGTGAGTGCTTTTCCACATCACGACTCAATGAATGCCAGCGGAATGATTGAAACACCGAAAAGCAACACAAAAGCTTACCACAAAAATGGAAGCAATGGAATTGCTAATGGTAAATTGGATTCTCTTGATAAATTTTAAATGAATTTTTCATCAGATAAATTGTTTCAATTATTCACAACTCGATATTGTTTCAACTTCAATTTTTGACGCTGTCGCTTTAGATCAATACACTGTTAGAATTATGCACGACAAAGCAACCAATTCCACTGAACCACGCACTTTGACGTCGTCATCACCGCCGAATTCATTAAGCGTTAAGCAAAATCATGTGCCATCTCTGTCGCCGATCAATAGTTCAACCGAGTCAACGCCCACATCAGACAGTCCACCGATGAAATTCAAAGCGAACAACAATGATTTTCTACGTGGATCCAAAGCCAAATCAATACTTTCGTCTATTTTGAACAATAAAACGGATAAAAGGTAAATAAAACGGGAATAACAAAACAATTTGATTGAATCAAACACCATCGGTCTAACACATCGTTTTAATTTTCCACACAGAAAACCAGCAACAACGCCCGAAATCGCAATCTCAGATGGACGGCCAATTTATGAAGCTGAAAGTCCCGATGAATTGGCATTGGTGAATGCCGCATTTAGCTATGATATGTGCTTAATGAACCGAACACCAAATCATATATTGGTCAATGCCATTGGACGTGGACAAATCGAGTTTGAAGTACTTAAAATATTGCCATTTGATTCGAATCGCAAATGTATGTCGGTTGTGGTACGTGAAACGGGAACACAAGATTTAATTCTGTACACAAAAGGAGCCGATACATCGATATTACCAGTGTTGGCGCCCATCAAAAGTGATCCATTCGAACATGAATTGCGCGAGAAAACTCAACAACATTTGGATATGTATGCGAAACAAGGTTTGCGGGTATTGGTTATGGCAAAGCGACACTTGAAACCACAAGAGTTTGCCGAATGGGCAGCAAAGCACAAGGAAATCGAACTATCAATGGAACATAATCGGGAGAAACGGACTCGTGAATCATTTTTAATGCTCGAAAAGAATCTCACATTGTTGGGAGCGACTGGCATTGAAGACAGACTACAGGATGGTGTGCCGGAAACGATAATATCTCTTCGCAAAGCTGGTGAGTAACAGTATTTGACTTTGTGTCGTATGAGAGAACTAAATCTAAATCTTCTTTTATGCGAAGGCATTGCAATTTGGGTTTTGACTGGTGACAAACCGGAGACGGCCATCAATATCGCTTACTCAGCCAAATTGTTTCAACCAAATATGGAATTGTTGAGGTAATTTTTAAACGCTAATAATCAAGTCAATTTATTCGAATCGAAATGACAATATCATCGATCAATTCTTCTTTCAGGCTAATGGCACGATCACGGGATTCCGCAGAAAATTCCATTCGATTTTATTTGAATGAAATCGGAAAACAAGAAATTAACTCAAGTTCTCGGCCAGCCAATAAACAACGTGCACTGGTTGTCGATGGCAAAACATTAACGTATTTATTGGATCCAAGGTTAGTATTTGAATTAATCGAATTCAATTCAACTCAATATATGATTTATTTTCGACTCAATTTAAATTGTCAAATTGTAGATCGAATTTAACAAGACCGTTTCTAACATTGTGTCAACATTGTGCCTGTGTTTTGTGCTGTCGCTCAACACCATTACAAAAAGCATATCTCGTAAAAGTGGTAAAAGAAGAAATGAATATCAGTACATTGGCAATTGGCGATGGTGCAAATGACGTTTCAATGATTCAAATGGCTGATGTTGGTGTCGGAATCTCCGGTCACGAAGGCATGCATTTGACTTTGTTTTAAATTGAATTGAAGAAATTGTTGCTATTTATGTATTTTTTCAATTTAAATTATAGGAATGCAAGCAGTTATGGCGTCCGATTTTACAATGTCACGATTTAAATTCCTGGAAAAACTCCTACTCGTTCACGGTTTCTGGTCATACGATCGGCTGGCTCGCATGATTCTGTATTTTTTCTACAAAAATGCGGTACATACACATTTTGCATTACAAAATCTCTTTATCTTTTTACTCGTTACGCTTTGCGATAAACACAACTTCAACATATAATGTTTTATTTTATCGCAATTCTCTCTGGAACAGGCATTTGTTTTTCTGGCATTCTGGTATCAATTTTATTGCGGCTTCTCGGCCCAAGTCATGATCGACCAAATGTACTTGATGCTGTTCAATTTAGTCTTCACAGCACTGCCTCCCCTTGTGATTGGTGTGTACGATAAGAACATTCCGGAAGATTTACTTTTTTCAAAACCATACCTATACAGATATGTAAGTTGATTCTACGGCAAAATTTTCAACTCGAAGAAATTTTCAATTTTTTTAAATTTCGAAAATAACACATCTCAATCTGTTTTGTCATTTACAGAGTCGATTGGGCCTGGCGTATAAGCCGATTTCATTTTGGCTCGTCATGTTGGATGCAGTGTATCAAAGTTTAGTCATATTTTTTATAGCCCTAGGTGCGTATAACGGTTCTGATGTTGATATTTGGGAATTTGGAACCACCATTACCACATCGTGTTTGTATACGATGTTAGTTCACTGTGCCATTGGAATACGATCATGGGTAAATTGAACTTTAATCAACATGTTTAATTTTTGACATCAATTTTAATCCATTTCGATTATTTCAGACGATTCTTCACGTTGCTTCGATATTTATCAGCCTGATATCATATTATGCATTTGCAATGACGTACAATGCTTTCTGTGTAACCTGTTTGGGTATACCATCGACGTATTGGGTGATATTTCATTGCATGCAATCGTCAGTTCATTGGCTCATCATTGTATTGACGGTGGTGATTGGTGTTCTACCCAAGTAAGCCTTGCTAGACTAAAATCAACATGTTCATGATTTTAATTTAAAATTTCTCTTCGGTTTGCCCTCATCTTTTCGTATAGCTTTTTGGTGCAAGTGACACGAACCATGTTCCGACCGGACGATATCGTCTGTGAATTGCTGCAAAGTCGCAAAGAAAAGCAAACCAATTCCGATTTACTGGTGACGTGGTCACGTTCAACATCTGCTTCGTCTATCTATAGGTGTGTGTACAATTTTGTGTGCAGTTGTTTTGTGACATAATAATAATTTCATGTTGATTTCATTACAGAACTGTGGAGCATACTCCGAAACAGCAGATCATTTCAACGATTGGATGATTTGTAAACAGGAACACATCATGGTTTCATATCAAAATTTTAATCAAACACAGACACACACTTCATAGATTAGTATGGAAAGTGTGTTTGCCGCTTTAGCGAAACACGTACTTCAACGAAAACTACCATCTCGGTCTAATCATGTAGCTCAAATCTTGCCAAAAACAAGCATATCTCCCAACGACGCAACCATCATTTTTTATCATATTTCTTTAGCTCTTTTGTCACGTTTTCTTTTTATATTATAATTTGTTGTCATCAAGCAAGAATCTTTACATATGAATTTGTTGGAAGAGTTGAACGGTCAAAATTAAAACCGATTTCTTACAAATGGCTATGGTAAACCAATGAAAAAAAAAACACACACATCCATTTGATTTCAAATCACAACCGTTTGATTGCGTATTACTTTATTTTTATTCAATTGTGTATTTTGTGCGCCACGAAATGAAACTACCTGAATTTGACTTGATTATATGTTCCAAAATAAAATTGTCGAAGGTGCATTGAATGAAATACTGTGGCCTTTGCGAAACACATTTGAACAATTTAATTCATACATAAACACAGAACAACAAACAATTTGGAACAGAAATCAAAAAAAAATTATTATTAAAATCGAAGAGAAAAAAAACAAAAATTTATGAAAACAAACAGACTTTATGAAGATGAAAATATATATTTACAAATACGAAATCTATTTTGTGAAAATCATTTGTATTTGAGCCATCATTTAAAAGACATAACAATAAGATATCTATAAATAATACAATGAATATTAGTCAAAACATCCAAGTGGAAGCGGATGATGATGATGATGATGAAGAAAAAAAACATTTATTATCAAATATGGCTGTGAAACTAATTAAAATAAACACAATAATAGCATAATGTTTTTTTTTTGTAAATAACTGACAATTGATATGAGTCAAGAGAAAAGTGACAGCAAAATAGACAAATACAAAATGGAAATGAAGAAAATCTCTTCACAATTGTTATAATCAATTTCACTCTGATAATCTGAAGATAACTTAAAACGATTTCTGGTTTATGATTTGAAGGGAATTCCTGATGCAATTCGCATAATTTATGCATTCATTCATTGTGTGATACAATTTATGGATGCCTTAAATTGGTCTTTCAGTTTATGCATCAGTTATGATCAAATTTGCTAA